ATTTTTGAAATTGAAAAAGTTTGGCAGAAATGATTGTTTGTCGAAAAATTAAAATGAAAGAAAACATAAATGTATAAAAACGTAAATCAGAGAAATAACACAAATATTATTAGTTACTCTTATTAAATATAAAAATGCCTCGAAAGCGGAAATCGGCGCTGTCAAGAAATTCTACGCCGGTGCGTAAGGCTAAAGTTACACGAAATAAAGAATGTGAAGTTCAAGCAGAGCTGAGAAGGCAACAGCAAGCAGATCGACAACGTGTTTTGAAAGCAGCTGAAACTTCTCATCAGGCACGAGTACGTTCGAAAAGACAAGCTAAGCAGCAGGAAGCTAGAAGAGCAACGGAAACGCAAGAACAATTGCAGTCAAGAAGAATTAATGATGCAGAAGTAAGAACCACGCGTCGTCGTAATTTCATAACTAAGAATATAGTTTATAAAAATATACTGGATTAATCATCTATATTGCTTATTTTAAATTGATCCATTTCTAAATTATGTAATTTCGTTATAATGAAATATATCTTTGTTGTATTGATTCAATAAAGTATATTTTAAAATTTGAAAATTTATTGCATTTAGTAATCCAAGCCAAGCAATAAAATATATTCTTTATATGGATCCATATTTACTATAATGATATCAGTTATTTATTTGATGGATTCGATGCGAGCGAAGCCGCGGGTAAAAGCTAGTTATATAATAAATATATGATTAAAATTTAAGACAGAATAGCAATAAACCACTATTAGCTTTAAATACACATTTCTTGAGATTTCCCAAAATACGGATTTAAGAAAGCTTTGAGTTATTTTTGCGAACGAAGATTAGTCAAAACTCAAGAATTTGCTTTAATCATTTTGAAGTGGATGACTTCAAAAACATCCAGTTCAAATTTGGTAAGGCTCACTAGGTAGTTATTAGGCTAGGTAGTTATTAGCAAGTATGCATGACTTCAAACATCTAGATATATTATTACGAAAACTCCAAGTGGATTAGAAATATATATTAATCACTTAAGCGACGGCGCACTGTGGGTCCAAAGGGCTAATTTCACGGATTAATTAAAAATAAATAATAAAGCACCTTAAGCACCTTTTCTGTGGAGTTTCGTTAGATTTGCTTTTGTTTTTTAATTTATATTTTAATTTTCTGTTTTTACAATAATATTCTTTATTTTAAAAGTAATGTGTTTAAGTTTTGTAAGGAACATGCTCAAACGTCGTTTTAAATACGCTTTATTAGCTTAGGTTGTATGTATGTAATCCAATCTTAGAGCTCAATTTTCACCGGTTTCAGAAGTATGATCAACTTGAAATTTTGCATACGTGTCAAGAACCGATGACAATGCAATAATTGATAAGAGTTTCCCATTATTTTAAAAAGGGTTAACCCCGCCCTAAATGGTTATGTATATATCTTCCAAACCGCTAAAGCTCACTCAACCAAATTTGCTGAGAGAGAGTTCTTTTGCCCTTTTTCATACGCCGTGAAAATGGGCAAAATCAGATAATAACCACGCCCACTTCCCATATAACGGTTATGTTGAAAACTACTAAAAGTACGATAATTCACGAAATAAATGCGCCATAAGCATTAAATTTTATAAACAAGATGGTAGGGAAGAGCTTTAAAGGAGGAGGTGAAAATTTTAAATGCACCACCAAACTTTAGATGAACTATATCTCAGGAACTATCGAACTAATTTCAACCAAATTTGGTATGTGAGGTTACCTATTCATTCCTATCACACACTTTGAAAATGGACGAAATCGTACAACGACTATAAAATTACACAGCTAAAAGCAGGTACTATACAAATACAAGCATGTACTATCCCAAAAATTGCCATCTCTCTCTTTTTTCAAATTTATTTTCCAAACATATATAATCTTCCAAAATAATTTTTTTAATAATCCGTAAAAAAATTATAAATTTTGTAATAAAAAGTATATATATATTTGACTCTCCAATAATTTTCAAAAATAAACTTTAAGTATAATTCCTTGGATCCTTATACTGAATATATGGGATGTAACGCAGGTTAGCCTTCACGCGGTGGATCCTGGGTAACGCTAAATGACCTGCGGGCTTTACGGCCTTTCTAGAACTCCTACGGATTTGACCTTTGTTCGATACGGGGCGACACCCTGCAGAAATGGCTGATGGGCTAATGCTAAGGCCACCCCCGTCCCGTTTAAAGCATGAGAGGCCTCAGAGTACGTTCCCCTCCTGTCGTCATTAAGTTGGTGGGGTAGGTGTTTGTTGAGATGAACGCATTTCCTCATAACGGCGTGCGCCAACCCTCGTAACTGAGACTACCTAGGGACCATTTAAAGGCGACTACCTTTCCAAGGGATATATAGCGGCTCTGAGTGGGGACCCAACTAAAATGAAGACATACAATGACAACAACATAACTAAGGACATAACAAGGAAGCAGGTCGAAACCGACCTCTTTAAAAGTGGACGGTTCCCTGGGGGGACATCTTCATCCCCGTTAAAGGGTGAGGAGAAAAATTCCGGGAGTGCCTGGCTTACCGTCACTAGTTGTGAGGCGAAGGGAATGGGCAAGAATCTGCCGACAGATACCTTAGGCAGGGCGGAATCGGCAGCACCAGCAGAGGAACCTCTGCCAAGTTCATGGGGGACGCGGGGTTCTCAGCGAACGCTAAGGGTCCCGGGGGGAAGCGCGTGACTGCAGCTAAAAAGATGAAGGCGAACCGTCGGTTGGCTGCGGTACTGCAATCCATCTCTTTCCAGCCAAGACTGGAGGTTGATTAGGCTGGAGAGGACAAACAACAAGGAGTCCATCGCTCCTCTCAGCATTGCAAAGGGAGCCATAAGCTATGGCTTCGAGAGGGTCGTCCTTAGAATACTCCCAACTGAAGCCAGGGCGGATGGCCCGCAGCCTCAAGCTGAGGTGGAAGAGAGTGGGAGAGCGACCTACTTGAAAATAGACATCGACCCTATCTTCTTGGATGTGGTGAGCACGGGGGCGGATCGTTAGGTGATTATGGATCCGTCCTCAGTCTCGAGCGCCTGTTCGAGGAGGCTGGGGTCGATAGTACGGAAGATGGTGCGGAACTCGCCTCCAAACTAACCTCCAGCATTTAAAGGTGGCCTCTGCCGATCTATTGCTTCGTCTAGGCTGGGACGAAGCCGACGTTGTCTTTATCCAGAAACCGAGGATGAGCAGCAACGGTATCTCTGGTTTAAGGACAAAAAGCCACAAGGCGGCACGCAGCACAGGCAGAACCAGAGCCTGTTTGTTTATCAGCAACGAGCTTAACGTTTTTCTTTTGCCTAATTTCAGCAACGAAGACGTCGTCACTGCTAGACTGGAGGGTAGCTCTGGAGAACTCTCGCTTGTCTCTTAATCTTAATAGGCTCGGATGCCAATTCAAGGCACACCGTCTGGGGGAGCTCGGACATCAACGCAGGAGGTGAGTAACTTTTTGATTTTATTTGTAGTGTAGACCTTTCTATATGTAATAGGGGAAACAGCCTTACCTTTGTGACAGCTAGCAGGGCGGAAGTCCTTGACGTTACGCTAGCCTCCCTTGATTTCGGAATGGAGGGTTCTAGACAACCATTCCTTCTCCGATCATAAATATATTGGTTGCAGCTTGAACGCCTTGCGCCCGGAGCCCAAAATCTATAGAAATTTCAGGAGTACCAACTGGGTCCTGTACTGCAGGAAGCTTCGATCAGCTCTTCCAACCTCACCAGACAGGGATTCGATCCTATCTGCGGATGCGGTTGATGAGCTCGTCGAGGCTTTCAGCTCTGTTAGTAAAACTACTCTTGAAGGCTCCTGTCCTCCGAGAACTTAGAAAAGCAAAGGGAAACCCCCTTGATGGACTTCGGAGCTAACGGAGATCAGATCTTCAAGCAGAAGACTTTTCAACAAAGCCCGTAAAAGTGGCTCTAGTGACGACTGGACTGGGCATTTACAAGTCCGAGTTGAAGAAAGCCAAGAGAGCCTCGTGGAGAGTCTTCTGCGGTAGTGTAGAGAGTTGTCATGAGTCCTCACAGTTCAGGCGCATTTTTGCAAAAAATCCTACTCCATTGGGGTATCTGAGAAATGCAGACAGTAGTTGGACAACAAGCAGCGAGGAGTCATTGAAGCTACTCCTGGATGCTCATTTTCCGCTAAATCACTCTGCTGAAGAAGTGCCACTGGGGGAGCTTCAGGAGGGCTGTACAGTCTTCTTGGACCTTCTGGACGATCGTCACCTTACCTGGGCGTTGAAATCCTTAAAATTCTTCAAGTCCCCGGGGCCTGACGGCATTATTCCGGCGCAACTACAGCTTACGGTCAAGATTTCATGCAGCTGGCTAGCTCCCATCTACGCGAACTGTGATAGATTGTACCATGTTCCGAAGGTCTGGAGACAGGTTAAGGTTACTTTCATTCCGAAGGCCGGTAGAAGCTGTCACGTGGGTACAAAATATTTCAGACCGATCAGATATCCTCGTTTCTGTCGAAAACGTCCGTACCTTAGCTAGGTCCGGATTTAAATTTGTGCCGCCATTGGGCACTGAAGAAAATGCAGCCTTATGATAGAAATTTTATATAAATAGTTTTGATAACTTATTTTTTAAGAATCAGAATAACTAATTAATTGCAGAAAATGTATTATGTATTATATATATATATTATTTATTATATACTATAGTAAAATAAAAAAAATTTTGTATTTTTCTTAGAATTATAAATTTTGCACTAAGGACGACTTATAATATGCGCTACAGTTTGTTACAGCTAAAGTTATAAATTTTCGATAAACGAATTCTACGTTTGAAAACTCAGTATAAAGGTCGTTTGAGTGCAGAAGTTTCAGAAGATCAAAAGGTGAATTTTTTTCCATCTTATTTTCGGTGCAATGAACATGAAAGTGCACAAATTCGTTATCCAATGAGGACTCAAGATCTGAGCAATATATTTTCCTTAAATGTTTAGCTCGTTTACGAATTTTCATATCATCTAAATCACCAAATTCAGTGATAACCGAGAATTTTTTTTAATCTTTTCATATGCTGTATATCTTTTACGCAACTCAGATCCCAGATTGTCAATAATGACATTAAAAGTATTAACTCTAAACTGATCTCGACCTGACAGCTTTTTTTCATAGGTTTCAAATTCATTTCGCGTGTCAGCAACAAGTTTGATCAAAGTATGATAATCATCGATTACATCAGCAATGTTACAATCAACTTTTTACAATCTTTGGCTTACAGCATTAATTCTTGAGAGTAAGAAATGCCAAAGATGATGATGATACATTATTTGCGTTATTATATGACTGACTTCGACAATCTGCGAGAGCAAGATCAAAAAACTCAAGAACAAATAATACAGCAACTAGCAAATCTTCAGCTTTATGTCCAGAGAACATGAGAAAACGTTCAACAGGCGTTCCATCTTTTTTCACATATCTGATAACATAAGAAAGTTAGTCAACGTGAGATATGTCAGGTGTGGAATCTACTATTATTGCGTAATATTTCCCTGATTTGACTTCTTGAACAATGATAGCAGATACTTTTTGTGCTAAAAGCTGTATAAATTTTTCATAAATAGTTTTGGATAGGTAGGGGCAAAAGAAGAAAGAAATTCCATCAGCATAAAAAAATTGTCATTGTTTGGTGAGCCGAATTTCTCATTACTACCGGAATCGGAATGGAAGTTCTCGAGAAGCTAGGATATAGTGGCGGCCTCTACTCTTCTTAAAACATTTCCCAATACGAGATTTCTGTCTCTATTTGAATAACTAAGTCATGCTCTATTATATTCTTAGTATTTGACCTTTGCTTAAGGGTTAACATGCATTTTTTATGATTTTTAGAGTTTTTATGCTCATTAACACGCATGTTTCCATTCCATTCCATTCCAAAAAGAAGACATGCTGCACAGAATACCGATGCTTTACTAACTGAGTAAACAAGCCATGGACGTGGAACTTTTTCACCGTTAATAAGTTTTCTAACAAATAGTGATTCTGAAAGCCATCGTGAAGTCCCGTCATTGTAATCCCGTTTTGTATCGGAGAAATTTAAATTTTTATTTTGTTTACACCCATAGGTAGCTACATGATCTCTAGTAAAATCGTTTATCATCCATTCTCTTGGATCATCGCTTATCATGAAGACGTTTTGCGACGCAATTTCTTCTACATTTATTGTTGGAACTGGAGCTTCAGATTCATCTTCATAGTTGATATTCTGTGGCAGTAAAGAAGTCGTGGTACTGTCAGTATTATTACTCGTAGACAAAGTCTGTTTCGGAGTTGAAGTAAAACGTGCATCACCACCTGTAAAAATTTACCATCATTCGATTAACATCATTATTACAATAAATAGCGAATGCTCATATCGACAAAAAAATCATAATTATATTCTGTAAAATATGGAGCTTAATAAGACTCTCGGGACAAACCTTCATGCTCCAAATTTGTACAATCTTTATTCATAGATTCTGATTTCTTGGTTACACGATCTTTCTTTTTAAAAAATCCAACTTAAAAGTTTTACTCAAAACCTCTTGCACCAAAACCTCTTGCTCCTTTTTAGTTTTCTCCAAATCGCGTTTTCCATAATCATATCCACTTAATTTTTTGCGTTCATCAGCCATATTCAACAATTAATTTCGGATTTATGCTCAACAAAATTGAAAGTCTTGACAGGTTAGATTCATCTAAACGTCAAATATGAGAAAAACTATATCGTAGAAACCTCGTTACATTTGTATACTGACTGAAGGTGGCAGCATGTGTAGTTGACAGTTGATTTGACTCGAAAATATAAAATAGTTCTTTTAAATTTTAATTATTTAGTGTTAATCCTCCGATTCTCCAATTTCACAAAATAAAAATATCAAATTATATTTTTTCAAACCTTTATGGAAAGAAATTAATTTAACTACTTTATTATATAATATATAAAATTTTAATTTGATACATAATGCATAAGTTAGATTTCTTGAAAGATAAAATGTCTATTTAAAATAATTAGTTAAATATATAATGTATAAAAAATGTTTTCTCGCTTTTCAAATTGGCCGCCCCAGAAAAATTGCCGCCCTGAGCACTAGCCTCGACTGCCCCTAGTGTATGTCCATCACTGGGCGCAGCATGCCTATATCAAAGGCAGGTCGGTCGACACTGCTTTGCAGAATGTAGTGTCATGGCTGGAGATAGTTATCAAGCACAAGAAATTTACTGTGGGCACCTTTCTCGACATCGAGGGGGCCTTCAATGTGCGGCCAGAGGCAGTGGTTACAGCCCTCGAAAAGTTTGAGGTACAATCGAACCTCAAGCACCTCATTTTTAGTCTTCTTTGCGACAGAACTGGAGTAGCGAAGTGGGGTAGTGCCAAGTCAACTAGAAAAGAGAATAGGGGAACTCCGCAGGGGGGGTACTTTCCCCACTGCTCTTGATCTCGGTGGTAAACGCCCTACTTATAGAACTCGAGGCGCAAGGATGTCGGGTGACAGCCTATGCTGATGATGTGGTTCTTATAGTTAAGGGAAAGTTCCTGAATACCGTCTACGAGCTCACCGAAGGGTACCTAAACGTGGTATCTAGCTGGGCGAATAGAAGCGGCCTAGCGTTCAACCCAAGTAAAACCGAAATGGTTTTATTTACTAGGAGGTATAAGATCCCAAATGTGCCTCTCCTCTCTTTCGGAGAGACGCGTCTTCAACCTGTTAAGATGAAATACCTAGGGCCTACCCTTAATAGAAAGCATTCCTGGACGCCACCATTGAGGAGAGAGTTAAGAAGGCATCGGTTGTCTTATATTGATGCAGGGGAGCTATACGGAACTGGTGGGGACCCTCACCAAAGGTGGTGTTTGGGCTCTACGAAACCGTAGTTAAGCCAATAATGTTATATGGTGCGTTCAATGGGTGGAGGGCGCTCGAAAGGTCCACACTGGCTAAAAAGCTTAAGCGGTGCACTGCGGACCACACCTACAATAGCTCTTAATGCTATTTTAAACATAGCAGGGTATTTGCCGGTAGGTGCATTGCTGCGAAGTGTGCTCTAAGGCTCAGGAAAGCTGGACTTATGAAGAGGTCCGAACAAGGACACGCCGAAATTATTTCCTACTTCAGCTGCATTCCGGAAAAGTTAGATCACCGCGTTACTGAGGCCACTCGAGGCGGCTCTATTCTGCTCATATTCCGACGAGGGACATGTGGATGGGAAGAAGCTGCTGGAGAAGAGGCGTGGTGAGCTTTTTCACGGATGGATCGAAGCTAGGAGGGAAGATTGGAGGGGCGGTTTTCTGCAAGGAACTCTCCGTCAGTCTTAGCTTCAGGCTACCGGACCACTGTAGTGTTTTTCAGGCGGAAGTGGCTGCTATCAACGTGGCGGTAGAAGTACTGCTACGTAGTGCAGCCTCGTTTAGAGAAGTGGGCATCCACTCCGATGGTAGGGCGGCAATACTAGCTCTGAGCGCGCGAACTGTGCAATCAAAGTTAGTTAAGGAGTGCCTGTCTTCACTAGAAATAGCATCTGGCTACTTCAACATCTGGCTCGTTTGGGTGCCTGGTCACAGCGGAATCGCTGTTGAATGGAATCGAGTTGGATCTCCATTAGCACCTGGTCGACGATAAACTACTGTGCGACCGCGAGATCCTTCGGGCCAAGAGTGGATCGCAGGTACGGCTTAGAGTACTACCCGATGCTAGTTGTCAACGTTGTATGGAGGAGGGCGAGGTGGAAACATCCCGGCACTTTCTCCTCCACTGTCCGGCTTTCGCTAGGCTGAGATTGAAATATCTCGACAATCACACTTACGGCGGACCTCTATACTTAGCCGAAATGAATATTGGCCGTCTTAACAAGTTCGTTATAGGCACAAAGCGTTTGGTCGACTTGTAAGGGTCTTTTGATCCAGATTATAGGAGTTTTTAGGTATCACAGCGGACCGGCGATTTAAGCTGTCCAAGTGAGATCCTTCTTAGGATCGACCTCCTAACCTAACCTAACCTATACTGAAAATAACGTTTTTGCCTTTATTCGTAAACAATAATTTCACTGTATTAAATAGTTTATTGTAGGTAATAGTATTTCATGTATAATATAGCCACAGCAATTCTATTACTAGTATACATATCTATATACCATTACGCTAATAAAAAAGTGTGTGTTTCTTTTTTGTTGCCCTGTGTTGCCGTTGACATAAATGGATAAAATTTATACCGTTGGGAGGGAGAAGAGGTGCAGAAAAGCACAACATTTGCGACTACAACAACTCCAAGCGCAATGGAACGACGGATTTGTGGTTGCGATTTTTTCCGCTTTTAATTGTGTTTGGAAAATGCGTGTGCATGCACTGAATTTCGTTACAATTACAATTTTAACGCACATTGAAGTGGAAATAACCTTTGATATCATTCGTTTTATTTTAGTGAGTTAGAAATTTTTAAATTAATTTCAAGTGCACTGCGCGATAGTTAATTTTTTTTAAATTTTTATATACATATGTATGTATCCGAGTATACTTTATATGGTCTCAGACGTTGCCTTCTAGGTGTAACAAACTTTGCGTGAACATAATATAAGTACATAAAAAAAAGAGATTATACAGAATCAATAATCGTGTAATGAGTAATGCGAAATCTTTCAATATTTCCCTTTTCTTGATAAAATTCTGGTGTTGGATCGGCCAAGGTTTTGAAGCGCTGCCGAAGGCCGCCAGAGCAAAAAAGAGTTCTAAGCCGAAGGACTAAGAACATACCGATGTTGAACCGACCAGGGTATATCTTTACGTCATCTTTCTTTTTCAAAATATTTCTTTCGTTTGAAAAATATCTAGATATGTTAATACCTATTCATAGTTTAGATGCTACCTTTTTGTATTGTGTCAATAAGACGAATTTAAGAAAAACTTTAATTATGATTAAAAAATAACTTATTTTACATTTGTTGAATTTATGAACATTAAATGCTAATATGTAAATTAGCTATATTCATATACATATATTCTTAACTTGGAGAACCTCCTCTATCCATCCATACCTATTTTAACCCCGGATTCCGGGAAGGTATTGTAAATTGTTCTCCAAAAATACTTTTTACAGATAAAAAAGTAGTGGAAATGTGCTAACATGTTTATATGTTAAAGGTATCAAACTGCTAACCAAAACAATAATACAGAAATTTGGGTCAGCGGTATTTTTATTATGGGTAACAAATAAGTAACCTCTTCCTCTAACAGGCTGTAAACAGACATGATAACTAAATTATGTCAATATGATAACCAAAACATCAAATTACGTACACATATAAGAGATAATAGAGAATAAGACAATCTGCCATAATTGCATTTGGATAGAGCGAGGAACATTAACCAAATTGTGTTGAGTTAATCCATAAGAGATGTTGAGATCCGACGATTTTCAAGCACTGTTTCTTTAAATTTTTCGATGTTATCGTCTTTAACAGAAGTAGATGAACGACTCGCACGAGGAAACTTTTCGATGACTTCACGATCTGTACTGAATCCGTTGTGCCACTTAAATACTTGTGTTCGTGTTCCCCAAAACAATTCTGCAATATTGTCAACATAACAAACAAACACATCGTAAACAAACAGCTGCCAAACACACACTAATTGATTTATGGGGATCAAACTTTACACGAACAATTAAACATCATGTACCAATCTTGGAAGTAAATTTTTATTTTTAACTAGGCAATTTTTTTATATCTTTGCCTAAATGTTATAGAAACATTTCTGTTGGGTCACCGATTGGGAACCACTGCATTATACGGTCATATGTTCTATATATTTTTGCTATTTCTTGTTCTCTACTTATTTGCCCAATATTCAAGGGGCAAGCATTAGAAGTCATTCACCTCAATGCAGTTTGGTCTTAGGCCCCCTTCTTTGGAACCTGATGTACGACGGGGTGCTACGACTACATCAACAACAATCCGTGAAGCTAATTGCCTATGCGGATGACCTCATAGTGGTAGCAGTAGCGAAACATCTAGATGACCTCCGTGTCAAATGCAATGATTGCATAAATGGTATACGACGGTGGTTCGCAACCATGAGTCTAGAGTTGGCTGAGCAGAAAACAGAGGTCTTGCTCATTAGCTCCAGGAAAATTGAAGAAAAACTATCGCTCACCATAGGAGAATGTCAGATAACTTCACAGCCACAGCTAAAGTATCTTGGCGTTATATTGGACTCAAGGCTAAAATTTAAAGAGCACTTGGAAAACACGACGAGTAAAGCAAATAAAATCTATAATTCTTTATCTAGAATGATGGCAAATAGAGGCTGTGTGCGTTCCAGCCGACGACTTCTAATAGCTAAGGCAATGAGATCCGTTATACTGTATGCGGCTCCAATATGGATCCAGGCGCTAGACACAAAATCATATGCTAAACCAATAATCACAGTGCATAGGCTTTCTGCAATACGCGTGATAAGTGCTTTCCGAACCGTATCAACCGACGCTGCGGAAGTATTAGCCAGTATGGTGCCCATCGACATCCAAGGAAATGAATTCGCGCGCTTATACCAGCTATCCGATATCTCTACAGCAACAAAAAGAGAGGAAAGAACCAAGAGCATTACGCTGTGGCAGCAACGGTGGCAAACCTCATCCAAAGGACGGTGGACTCACAGACTGATACCAGACATCAGACCGTGGATAGATAGACAGCATGGGGACCTGGATTTCCACCTGACCCAAATGCTAAGTGGACATGGGTGCTTTAGAAGCTACCTTTACAAATTTCGTCATGACTACAGTCCGTACTGTCCGACGTGTACAGAATGTATTGAAGACTCTGAACATGTTTTTTACCATTGCCCTCGGTTCTCCAGTATCAGAGAAAATCTGAAAACCACACTTGGCGGTAGTTTCTCGGTGGAAAATTTGACAGCACTTATGTGTGAGTCCTCTATTAAATGGAAAGCAGTCAGCGAAGCGTCAGCTGTGATAATGACAAGATTGAGACACTTACAACAGATTAGGAGTCAGTTAGTCCGTACCGTAGAGGAGACTTAAATGTCTTCTTCTCTCCCATGAAGTAATACTTTGTCCAGTGGTTCCGTGGGAGAGATTTGGGTTGGGAGTAGGTTAGGTTTAGCGGATTAAAGTTCCGCACTTCGGCTTTCGATGCTTCCCCCTACTATAAAAAAAAAAAAAAAAAAAAAAACCTCAATGCAGTTAATAATTGTATTTGCATTGTGTACATAATTACATATTTATTGCTTGCTTGCGCTTGC